AGGATCTTACGTTCATTTACAAAACACTATCAGAAACTTTGCCCGAAACAGAGATGGTTGTGGCGCCAATGTCACTAATACACTCACTCAGATCCCTTTCCTATGGTATCTTGGTGACGTATCGCTTTTACCGGATTGTTTGCATATGTTCTTCCCCTAAAAAGTTCCTGAGTAGAACGTGGAGCATGATTGAAGCTACTGCTGTGACTTACTTCAGTGTTTTGGCTGGCATTTTGTCAGATCCTGCCAATTTCCCACACTTTATCCGATGGCCATCCTGGTTTCTTCGATCGATGGTGGAGTGACATCTATAGGAATGTCTGTGTGTTACTTCGACGCCTGATGAATTCAGTGTGGTTGGTCTATTCAAGAATTCTTCATATCACACTGCCCACCTGGTCTGCTATTCTTGAATCTCAGTGAATGGCTTGCCTTTTTTGTCCTTGACAGCTCTCTCTAGTTTGCCATGTTTCCTCGCCAGTTTCTTCGTTCTGTCTCATATGTTCTTCTCTTGCAGCTTTTCCCGCTATCGTTTCTAAGTATTCCACGTATTCCTGCCTGTCTGCTCTAATTCTCTTCTTCACTTGCTTGTTTTCTTCTGTGTATTCGATATGTGCTTTGACTTTCTCTTTTTGTGTTCAACTGTTGTTGGTTGTTTCTGTCTTGTTCATTCCTTGTAGAATGCGTATAAATGTGCGAATCACTCACCACTCCCGTTCTTTTATCTCGGTCCATGTCGTCTTATGATAACCTCATACCTTGTGTTGTCTGTTCCAACGTTGGAGTTTGGGTCTCATATCAGGATAGCCAGGTCTTTCCTTTGGCAAATGAGACTTACTTATCTCCGTATATTTTCATCCATAGAGCAATGCAGTACTAGAAGCCTGATGATACGTGGGTGATGAATAAAACAAAGGACAATCAATAGTGGTACTTGTATCGAGCCCTGAGACATTCCCTGAGTACTAGTTTCTCGCAGTAAACTTCGGAAATAATCCACCAATTTTATCATGTACCCACTAGAAATCATTTGACTTCAGTGTTCAGACGTCACTAATTGTTCCCCCTTTGCATAACTGGAGTGAAATTCCGTGAGTGAGTTATTGTTCAGTAACAAATAAACTCCAATAACCATTTCAGATCCCTGATTAAGATAAGCATAGCTTGGTATTCGTATTTCTTCCAATTTTGCGAATTGTGCCAATATATTTACACCAGGTTCACTAGCCAGATATCAACACTAATAGCGTACTTTGGCATAGAATGAACCAGCTACCACTTGAGCAGGAGTAAATCAAGAAAAAAAAGCTGGAATTGGATAGGTCAGACTATGCACAAACTATTAGGCTGAAGATGGTAAAGGTCCTACCAAATCCAGATGAACATGGTCGAAACGAGCATTGGGAGTATTTAATGAGCCTAAGGGACATTTATTGTGTCTATTAACCTTAGATTTTTGGCGGCCACGTTTCTGTAGTCGTTCGAAAACAAGGTCCAGATGCTTGCGATTAGGCAGTCGTCAACATACGCATGTACGAAGTTGAGACCTCGAAAAACGTTGTCTATGAATCTTTGGAATGTTCGGGCAGCGTTTCTTAAACCAGAAGGCATTCGCAAAAATTCATAGAGTCCGAAGGGATTAATGATGGCGGTTTTCGGTATGTCGTCTGTTGCCATGGGGATTTGGTTATACGCTTTAACCAAGTCGATTTTCGAAAAGACAGTTGTACCTTTCAAGGTAGCTGTCAAATCGTGAATGTGAGACAACGGGTAACGATCGGGAATGGTTTTCTCATTCAATCGCCGGTAGTCACCAGTTGGACGCCAATCGTTGCTGTCCTTTTTAGGGACCATGTACAACGGAGATGCACATGGGCTATTTGACGGTCGTATGATTCCTAAGTCTATCATGTGGTCGAACTCGTTTTACCCCAACCTTAGCTTGTCAGGGGCTAGTCGTCGTGCCTTAGAGAATACAAGTGGTCCTGTAGTCGTGATGTGATGTGTAACATTTCTGGTTACACACGGTATTTTCGGTTGCGTTTGTTGTATCCAAGGGTACTTATCGAGTAGTGGTTGATAGAATGGGTCTATCGTGTGCTTAATTGTGACTGGGGATAATTTGCAACCAGAAAACCAACTTACGCAAACGGACAAATTAGTGTTTCCGTCTACTAGCCTCCGTTTGCGCGTATCGATGATCAGATTATGGTGTTGTAGAAGGTCCATACCAATGATTCGCATAGAAACATCTGCAACAACGAAGATCCAGTGAATGGGTTTGCGTAAACTCACGTTGAGGTAAACGTACCTTTTGCCATTACGTAGCGATCGATTTTCCGTTTGCCGCCTGTAAGTTTAGGGTCGATTCGTGAAGTCGGTCGTCAGAATTCGCTGGGAGAACGCTAACGTCTGCGCCAGTATCGACGAGGTAGCGAACTCTCGTTGTCACATCTGTGACGTATAACAGACGGCTGTGTTCGCTGGCTACGGTTGCCGTTAACGCGTGCCGGCTTGGAAGTTTCCCGACTTGTTTTTCGAGCCATTCGGTTTTGAGATAGATAAATTTCAGGGTTTTCTGCAATTTCTGAAAGACTTTCCATACTGGTTATGACACTAGCACCAGTCGGGATTATCCGTCTCTCGTGGTGTAGAGGCAGATCGCTTACGTGAAGTTCTTCTACGTGGGGTGTGTGATCGCTTACGGTCGTTACGAAAACTAAGATAACGAGTAAGCGTATGACATAACTCGATTATGTCATTCTGAGTCGTTTGAGGCTTTTCTTTGACTGAAAATACCTCGGAAGTAGAAGATTTCGTAATTTCTAAGATATGATCGGCAGATGCAGCCAGCTCGTCTAAGGGGTTGTTCTGAAACGAGTCCAGAACCGCTTGCACATGTTGGGGAAGTTTAGACAAGAAAAGTTGTTTGAATAGGCCTTCGTCAAAAGTTCTTAGGCCGATAACCTCTCTCATTCTTTGCAACATGTCCGCCGCAGAACTGTGTTGCAGGTCTATGTTATTAAAGAGTTGGTCTAACCTTTGTCGATCGGTCTGGTCTCCTCGTTTAAGAATCGAACGCTTTAACGTTTCGTAAGGTTCAGAAACATCACTAGTAAACATACTAGGTGTTACGTACCTGTTGAATTCCCGCGGTAGTGCCTTGACTACTGCGAGGAACTGTGCACGTGTGTTATTCACGCCGTGCTTGTGGAAGTCAGCTTCTGCGTAGCAGAACCAGGCTTCGATATTGTCGGGCCAGAACGGCATGAGTTGGAACGAGGGTGGGGACATAGTCTTAATCTTAAACACCTTGGGGCCTGTTCGGTCATAGGGGAATATTAAGTACGAGAATACGAGGGAAAAATTTATAGATATCCTGAGACACGGAGGAAAAAATATCACAATGTATAAAAAAATAAGGCAATAATATACAAAAATCCCAAAATGGAGCAGACTCACAGTTGCAATTAGGTGTGCCAGATCACGTTAGGCTCACCAATGAAGATGGCACAGGTATTCAATGTTTGACAACGCTTTTACCAGCAACACCTAATATAATTCGTACCCAACAAGAGATATCAAAAGACAGAGTCGAGGAGATCGGAAGAGTGTATTTGGTGATAACCAATATATCGGAATTCTCTGATCTGATCTGGCTAGCGATTGCGAAAGATGTTGAGCACAGCGTTCCCACACGTGATCTGGTAAGGATGCATGACCGAGCGCCTTCAGCTAGGTGAGTCCACTAAAACTAATCTGGTCAGCATCCAATATCGAAAACTTACAGAGCTATTTATTTTGCAGATTTATTTACCGCTACAAGGCCAAATTACAAAACAAGACCTAACTTGGTGTCGTCAAAGTGGAGGGAAATGAAGCAGACTGAAGAGCATATGTCTGCGGGAATCGGGAAGAGACACTAGAACCATGAATACTATTTGGAGACAACTTGAAAGCAGAACCCAGAAGAGCTATTTCGACATCCCTGGTCGTAGGACTGTGCCTTATGGGGGGGGGTTCAAACTTAAACAGTTAAGTAATCCAAAATCCTAAATATGAACTCTTTTAGTCTCAGGTGGAAAATCCAACCTCTTAAAATTAAAAGTGTTATACTTGTGGAAGGTATTACTGACTCAAGTGTAACCTGTTAAGGGTTACTCGAGATAAGCAATACATTAGGATTTATAGCTGCATATACTTTTCAGACCTATTTAGCTATCTATTGTGTTATTTTATTCAACTAGTAGTATTCTGGGATCAATGTAAACACTAGTTTTTTAAAAAACTTATTTACTTGGTATAGAGTGGACGGTAGGGGCACCTTCTAATCTTTACGTGTAACGCAATTTCGGGATTCGCTTCTGGCTTAGGTAATTTAGGTGGCTTCCCTAAAGTTCTTTAGGGGTTGAGTAGATATATTCTTTAGAGTTGATGGCAGTATTCTATTATTATTGACTAACTCTTCTCTTTTGACTGTTTAGTATATTTAGGACTCCATCTGAAGGCATCGGTGATTCAGTGATGCTAGGTGCAGAAGCCCTTCAAAATGAAAGACAGTGCTTATCCATCTAGAAACATTTGGACTATTTACATGCGTCATACACGGGTCTGACTGCTTGACGAGGATAGTGACGATAATAATAATAACAATAATAATAGAAAATGTGTCGTAAAAGCTTCCGCTGAATTAGACACTGACGTTCTGGCATAACAAGGTGTACAACTTAAAGTGACATCAGTTATCGTAAAAGTCAAAAAGATTTAATATGAAAAATTATAAGTTGTAACATCACACTGTAGAAGGGTACTTCTCATTTTTACTACTGATCACAAAGTTCCTAAAAAGTGCAGATCTCAATAACAGATATCGCTAGTGCAAAGTATTTCAGTATACATATAAATAAAAAGAAATCATCATAGCACTACTCAATGGGGTTTAAGTGCTTGTTGTTGAGTTACGGTTACATGTTGCATTTTCAATTGTGTCAACACACATCATGAGGAACTGCGTCCCAAACAGGCCTGTTCATTTGGCAAGATTTGAAGTGAATCTAAAAGAAAATGAGGTTATTGAGTGACATTTAATTCAACTTTATACAGAAAGAAATAAAAAAGTTGAGGCAGGAAGTGAATGATATGCAATTAAGATCTAATGAATTACTATTCGTAAACAACCAATTTTCTACCGATGAAAATCTCAACATCATTAAAAACCTTGAGCAACAATTAGATTCTTTGAATGAAGTATGTTTTTTAGTTCGCTTAACCATCATAGGAACTAAAATATGAAACAGTTCTTCGTTCAAGGATTGAAGAAGAGTTGAGTTGTGCATTAAGTGAGCTGAGGTTTTATCGGACATCTACAGTAGCTGATATTGCCCACCAAGAAAAAAACGAAATTAAGTCTCACTGTGAAAGTTTTACGATCGAAATTTTGAATGAACTGAAAGCACAAATATATTCAAAGTGAGGATTTTTACATGTACCCGAAATATGCATATTTACATATATGTATTTACACATATGTATTCATGCTTTGGAACATATTGTGCAACTATTATTTTCTTTACTTTAAGCCTTTAGATGGTTTGTTCACATACCTAATTCAATAGCTTCAAAATGATTTTTCAGAATATAGTCTTGTAATGTAGTGGCTGATAAAAGGGAACTCCCTGTACATAATGAACAAAGTTGAAAGCCTCAAACTTCATGGTCTTAATAAGTGTTTACTGCTATCTTAGCATTTAGGTACTACGAAGGGTTGCAGCGGACCCATGGCAACATAAATGTGAAAAGTTACAGGTCATTTATTTATTGCTTATTGACTAACCGTCAATAATTATGTGGTACATATACATACAGATTCAGATTTGTGTAGTAAGGACAGAAGGCCTACGGCCTATGTTATTCCTTTTCTAGTATGCTTCTGTGAGTGTCCAGTCTTCTCTTGAAAGAGTCAATTGAAGGTGCGGACACCACTGCTTCAGACAACAGGTTCCAAGTATTGATGACGCGGTGTGAAAACCTGTATTCCACGGGTATTTTGTTCGTTCTTGGCTTTTCTACTTGCCTGCTATGTCCTCTGAGGTGTCCCGATCTAGTGGGAAGAAAGAGAGAGAATAAGTTAGGTCCGAAATCATTTTTCAGTATTCTGTACATCAAAATTAAATCTCCCCTTAGTCTGCGGTAGGACAGAGTAAAGAGGTCCAGTTTTTCAAGCCGCTCTTTGTATGATAAACCCCGAAGTTCCGGAATTGCACGGATAGCTGCCCTCTGTACTTTTTCTAGTGTGTCAGAGTCACCTTTTAATCAGGGGCTTGCAGCCTGAGCGCAGTTCTCCAGCTTATTTCTCACTAAGGATGTGTATACTGTGGTGAACATGGTAGTATCTAACTTAGTGAATGTCCGTTTTAAAGCTCAGAGAGTTCGAAACCCCTTGGCTGCGACCTCCCGGCAATGGGCCGTCGTCTTAAGATCATTACTCACTGTCACCCCTAGACCCTTATGAGACCGGACTACGGGTAATGACACATCCCCTATATTGTACTTATTAACCTTTAAATCCCCCAAATGCATGTGGCCACACTTTGCCGCGTTGATAGGCATCAGCCACTCTTTAAACCGGTTTATCATATTATTTAAGTCCGCCTGAAGAGTAAATGCGTCTTTGTCTCCAGTTATTACTCGCCAAATTTTTACATCGTCAGCGTATAATAACATTGGAGACTGTACTATACTTTTAAGATCATTAACGTACATTATAAAAAGTAAAGGACCTAAGACGGAACCTTGGGGTACTCCACTAAGTACTGGTCTCCAGATGGAGCACTTGGAATTTATTCTTACTTTTTGTCTACGACCTACTAGGAAATCTTTAATCCATTTTAAAAGAGGTCCGGAAATACCATGATTTTCCAACTTCCATAGCAGTCTATTAGTTGGCACCTTGTCAAAAGCCTTACTGAAATCTATGTAGACAGCATCCACTGAGTTTCCGTTGTCTAGCGCATTAATCCAGAACTCCCTTGCTATAAGGAGGTTCGTTGGACAGGATAGACCCTTTCTAAAACCATGTTGTGCCATATTCAGCAAGTTATTGGTTTCCATAAATGCCGTTATGGTCCGTTTGATTATTCTTTCTAGTATTTTAATTACGACACTAGTGAGACTTACGGGTTTGTAATTCGATGGAACTTGTCGCGGACCTGTTTTATGTATGGGAGTGACCATTGCGTCCTTCCAGTCCATAGGTAATACACCTTGTTCAAGTGACATATTGAATATCATAGTCAGTGGGGCCGCGATATATTGAGCAATATGTCTCAAGATTTTGGGGTGTAGCTCATCTGGTCCTGTTGACTTTTCCATGTTTAGGGTGCTAAGAGCCTTAAGCACATCGTTTTGGTCGAAGTCCACGGTGAGCAGCTGGTTTGTTGACTCTATATTTGGGTCTGGTTCTTTCTCTAGAGGAGGTTCCTGAGTGAAAACTGCCCTAAAATAGTCAGCCATAGCCTCTGCTTTTTCTTGATCTTCCTCTATAATTTCAGATTCACTTCCTACTTTAATTAGGTTGGGAATCCAGTGATGCATCCCTGTTCTGTAGCTTATGTGTGAGAATATTCTCTAGGGCTGCTTGAGTGCAGATTCTGCCAGCTGCATTTCATATTTTCTTCGGGCTTCACGAATTTTCAGTATACAATTGTTTCTTGCCGATCTGTAGCGCTCCATCGTACCTGCTGTGCCAAGGCGGATGGCAACGTCCCAGCATTTCTTCTTTTGTCTTAGTAAATGTCGAATATCCCGCCTTATCCAGGGACGTCCGTGCTTCTTTTTCTTTGGGACAGTTCAGGGTATGTATGGTTGAGTTACCTGATTGTATAACTGCCTGAATAGAGTCCATGCCTCTTGTACTGATGCCTTTGAGTCAATTTCCCAGTTTTCAGCCGATGCTGCGGAGTTAATTGCTTGCATATCTGCCTTCCATATGTTGGGACGTGCCGGTGCAACTGTTTGACAGGCAATTTCAGCCATGAATTTGAATAAGATGACCGCATGGTCACTTCTCCCAAGTGGTGGGAGAAAAGCCATTTGACCAACGTCATCACCGTGTGTGAAGACTAAATCTAAAAGAGAGGAAGAGTTTCTTAAGTCGTATCTTGTGGGATCTCTAATGTGTTGGAATAATGCTAATCCAATCGAGGTTTCTAACAGTTTGCAGTCGAACGACGATATGGATGACCCTACATACAATTCCTAATGAAAAAAATTGCTATGTCTTCTGTGTATGTCCCTTTGATTCCAGTATTACTGGACAGGGATGATATATATATCTTACTTGTCTTTGCATATATTCTGTCGACCTAACACGTTTAGAATAACGGCATATCAAAAGTCCAAACATGAATGGTGTTTCGGATAAGTATATATCATACATTCGTTTATTTAGATAAACCGTAAGAGATATGATCAAGAGAAAGGTTTTCAGCCTTCTCATTTTTAGTAAGCATGATTCAGCATTTAGAAAGATAGATAAATACAAGCTAAAACAGGTGGCGAGTGGAGTGAGTGATAATGGACACAAACACATAAAATTTTCACAACTACACATGGATAATTACACAAAGAGAAATACTTGTATATGATGGCTCAAAAGTTGAAAAACAGTGTGAATCACTATGATATATTCGTATTCATTTCCACACATTACTTCTATAACGATTGTTCATTTGATATTACTGACATGTACATTTATCTCACATTTTAACATTCAGACCAAGAGATCTATCTTTGACTGAGTTATTCATAAGCTGCAACTTTAGAGAGTCGTTTTAGTTGGGTTATTAAAATGGTGGGTGATTGTTTATAAACTCATATATGTTTATTCATTTGATTCGTAGTTGTTCGTTCAATTTTGAAGTAGTTTTCATCACTGACTGACTAATTGAAGAGTAGAAACATTGATATGATGAATCTAGTCGACCAAACCCCGTATGAAAAATATTGGGCTCTAAGTCCTGGCTTTTAATTACGAGAGTTGCCAATAACATTGATATATCTTATTCCTCCATAAACCGGAAGTTTGAATCATCCAGGTTTATTATTTTGAGGCTGCATTTCAGTTTTCGGGTCTGACTTTCAACGTTATTTTTACTACTTATCATTTAGTGAAGTAAACATCATATATTTTTTGATCGTTTTTAATAATTAATCGTAATTAATAATTAAAATTTGTTCATACAGCTTATCATCATTCACCGAACAAAACATAAAGCAATTGACTTTGAAGAAAGGACATCACAATGAACTGATTGGTTTTGGGAAGTTACGAGAGACAGCTAATGAATTCAAAGTAATTAGTTTTATAGTTTAATTGTTTTGGAATAATAATTGTCAGGTTGATACAAAATGCCATTATTTTGTCAATTAAAATAACTGTATGATTGAAACTTACGCAAATATTTAATCTATAAAGAGTAAGTAAAGTATGGGACAACGTCGAGTACTTAAAATCCAAATACCTCGCATACTGAGATGTAAACCCCTTATACAAAAATTAAGCAGACTTAACGTGTTAGTTTTATGAAACGTTAATTATACCAACTTCTTGTCAATTCACTTCAATAAATCTTCACGTGTACTAGCTAAATTGATCCAACAGTAATAATCCTCCTCACTATCAGTGACAGCCATTTTCATAAATTACGCCAATCTTGTTAATATATAACAGTTGGACTTTAGTTATGATGTTGATTGACGTCCATAATAATATGAAATATTCCGTCAGTGAGGATTGGAGCTATAATCTGTAAAGTTAGTTAAGTTGGTAGTAAGACAATTCACTGGTGATATTGGATCGGTATCACTTCAAATAAGAAATTGATTGAAGATGGAAAATGTGCGTCATTGTATTTCTATTCACTGGCCGACTGGCATTATGCATGTTGCTAGATATGAAGACCTCGCGTCTGATCCCTGTATGTTTGTAACTTTACGGTGCTAAGAGTCCCAGTCCATAACGAATCATTTATATAGCCCTTCCCTATTTTTCAGTGTCCGTTTAACTTACATTACCTTCTGATGGAGATATCATCAAATCAAACTAAAGGATTATTGCATCAGACTGAAAGTATTCATAACTTGCAAAAAATTCTTACATTTTGCGATTTATCCCGGACTTTTAATTTAGTTGTGGTTATATAGTAAGCCATCACTCGTCTAAACACTTGCATAAAAAACCCAATTGTTTATAACCTTTATTTAAAAATATGGAAATTCTGCATTTGATTCATCAAAGTCATCGAATACTTATCTTTCAGAATGATTGATAGCAATGCAAAATATATTAATCACCAGTTTTAAGCACACTTAATACGTTAAATATCTCCCACTCTACGTTCATACATTCTTATGCCATTTCACGACTAAGGGTCAGAAAATATTTGCCTTCATGTTACTACATATGTAAAGCTTTACATTTAAAATCAAATAAAACAAAGGGAATCTTGTTTACAGCTAATCGCGAACGTCCCTATGAATATCTAAACACCCTATGTTGATGCTGAATGGGATTTAGGCGGTATATCATTATATATTTGGTTTTCTATGCGATATCGACAATAATAGACAATGTTAGAGATGGAGCTATCACATTAAATAAGTGTATATGGCTGCATACTGACAGTATATTCACTGCAAACGAAGCTACGATCCAAGTTACTACAAATGAATAAGCTATGTGAGAAAATTTTTCAACTCGCTCGTTTCCAGTTTCACGCTGAAAATTACATCTAGTACTACTAAATGTATCATCCACGATTGAAAACGTACGCGTGATACTCAAAGCTTGGTTTTTTAAACTTACTATCTACTAAGTATTAAATTAGCTATAAAAAACCGATAAGTTACTCATCCACAACTGATTGATCAACCCACTTATGATGACTGACATTTATCGGTTTTACTTGTTTATGTTGTTCAATTTGATTTATTATTCGATGGGTAGAATTTTTATCGGCTACAACTAGGAAAAGTAAAACAAAGCACAAATTTGAAGCTTATTGCCTGACTAGTCACATATTAGATAGTGATTAGACGTTGAACCTAGAGCGTACACCTCATTCTACTTGGAACTTGTTTTAATCAGAAGGTAGATATCACTTATAAACGTATTTACCCGCACATATTCTATACTTGCAATATTTACAAATAAAACTGCATATGTGAAACATTATGCGTTGAACGGAAATGGTTTTACTATATTTCTAGAGAGAATTGATTGAGATTTGTAGACGTGAAGAAAGTGCTATTAAATCACTTGGTGAATTACAACACAAGTATTCTATACTTCAAAGACAATACAATGGATCCACTCAACTAACTGAGGATGCATTACATAAGGTGAGCGGTAACATCAATAAATGAATAACAGTTAATCATAGGTAAAAATTATTGGAGAGGATTATAAAATATACTATAGAAAGTCAGCTTGCATTGATTGATACTCACTACTTTATTACTTTCATTTAACCTACCACTCTTCAATTCAAAAACTGACAAATTCAAATTACATTTACCATCCATCTTTTTTATTTGTACCCATTAAACGACTGTCTGCTTTTAAATAGATAGTCCCATAATTAATCCATAAGTTATTTGTTATTATGTATGAAGTCGTTTAGTATTATTCTTTTTACAGGAGTAACGTTACAAACCCAATTGAGCTCACTAAAATAATTGTTTAGAGATAATGTTGACCATAAACTACGAATAGATTATATCACTTCAGTTTATAGCATTGAAGGAATATTTTGTAGGGCTAAAGAAATAAATTTTCACAAACAAAAATTCTGCAGTGATTTCCCAAGCTAAATTAGGCTGATATCATGTTTATTGGTTGATAAAAAGAGAATAATTTATTTGCTGTTTCGTTTTCTGTAGTAATTGGAGTTTATTTAATAGATCGAGCTCTTAACAGTCGAATTCACGAGGCAATATAAGCTAGACCACCATTGTAAACCTGGAAGCATCGAACGGTCATTTCGTCTTACTATGGGACTCCTCAGCAGAGTGCACCCACAATCCCGCAAACGGTACTCGACCGAAGTCTTGCTTGTTTTCTCTGTTATTGCATCTTAGTCTTCTATAATACATGTTTCAATGATTTCGTTACTGTATGAATCTCAGGTATCTAATTGCAATCCTTCATAAGTATTTCGTGCAGAATAAAGTGATTCGACTGTTACTATGTACACGGGACTTTGTAAGTCATTGTGAGCTTAATAGGCATATTTTGGTAAACATATGTGTAGTTCTCTTTTTATGAGAAGACAGCCGTCGGATATCCGTTTCTCTCATTTTCTCTATAAAAGATGAACAGCATAATGCGCTTCCTCTTTTCCAAATAAAATGAGTACACACTGGTTTCGCGAGTTGGTGCATTATCGATATCGTAATACAAGACTTGGCTTATGTGTATTATTTTTCGAGTTTATAATTTTGTGATAACTAGTATATTTAGAAAGGGTAGCTTTTAACTTGATTTAATTTCCAATGTGATTGAGTATTTATCCAAATAATGTTGATCAAACTGTAGGCACTTTTTAATGCACTTCACTAAGTTAATAATCATTTACCCACACGTATTTAGCTATGTTGGTATTCAAAAATGAAAACAGTTAACATGATGAAGTACCATTTTCGATAGAAATATAATCAATATTTTTTTTTGAAATTCCAATTTGATGAAGTTTTAAGTCAACTAATTACAGTTATATGAACAAAGAGTATGATTAGCATTATATATATATATATATATATATATATATATATATATATATATATATATATATATATAATTTTGCATCACAGGTTGCGGAATTAATATCTTTAAGTCAAACATTAACTAACGAGCGTGATGATGCAATACAAAAAAGAGAAAATGCGGAAAATGAACTTTCAAAACTCCAACTCGTTGTCGATAAATTAACTGAAGAATCTGGTCAACGTACAAGGGAAGAAATAGATAAAATAGAAAAAAAAGCCAATGAAAATATTGAGAACTTATTAAATGAACTGCACCATATGGAGAAGGTAAACTGCAAGTAACATTACATTCAACTAATTTAGTGTAGCTTATATATATAGTTACGAACTTACGTTAGAGAAGCATTGAAGACGAAGTAGCGCTGAAAACCCGTTTCCTTTCGGCACGATATAAAGTGGTGCAATAATACGTGTGCTCTATTACATATTGCAGAGTCCGTAATACATTGTTTCAATGATGGGGAGTGAATTAGTTTAGCGTGTCGACCTCTCCACTTATCTTGAAAGTCTCATTAGCCCTTGTGGTCTGGCGTGTGATGAAATCTCAGCACGGATCCAGAAGGCTCGACCAACTTGCGTCATTTGTGGCGTCGGCGAGATATCCGTCTACCAACCAAAGGACGGGTTTACTGAGCAGCAGTTCGCTCCGCCCTACTTTATGGCAGTGAAACATGGCCGGTAAGATTAGAGGATATTCGTAGGTTACTAGTATTCGATCATAGGTGTCTTCAAACCATTGCTCGTATATCCTGGGACCATCGAGTAGGTAATGCAGTTGTTAGGAAACGGGTACTAGGTAAGAATGGCAAATCCCTTGGTGAAGTAATGAAACTTCATCAGTTGAGATGGTTGGGACACGTGTTACATATGCCCATTCACCGACTGCCCCAACGTGTGATGTTTTATTGTGTAAGAATATGTTGGAAGAAAGCTAGGGGCAGCCAAACTAAAACATGATACAAATCCATGAAATCACTGACAAGTGGACTGAGCCATGTTGGTAGGTGTAGACTACCTGGTTGGGATCCGCGAGTCAATGCCGACCGATGGTTAGAGACCCCGAATGACATGGCTTAAAATCGTTTGCAATGGCACAGGTGCATCCCATCTTTGTGTTCTCACAAATTCCCATCTTCTGAATTCTTCATGTCCCTTGTTTTTTCTCAAATTTATTTCACTGGATTATACACCTTGAATGACGTCTTCAAACTCTAATGTTTCCGATTACTGCTTATACCCTTACTACCTCTACTACTATGGGATTTGAATCGACAATTGTATTTCTGTGATAATGTGGTATGGCAACTCGAACTGATGTACGTACGTACAAATTTCTACGTTGTTAACTGACTGATTGACATTAATTTAAATAAAAACGATGAAATAATACTTACCAATGCATTGTAGAAACATTCGTCGAAGTCTAAATGATGCCTAGCTTGATTTTGGGGCGTTCTTTAACCGATAGTCAACTTTTTCTTACATTTTGTCTTCTTCATAAAGTTTTCTTCTCAAACGAAAGAACTATACTGGCAGATAGGAAGTTTTTTAACTTTTAAAATATAGTTTCAAGTTAATCTAAGATTGCACTCCTATTCGTTTAGCCCACCACTTATAGGCTCGATATAGATAGCTACTTCACTTGATATGAAGAAATAATGTGAGTTCGTTTGGCTTCCTAAAAAGTGGGATTGATTATTATATTAAAGGTGGTCTAAGCTTGAATTGCACTATATACAGTAGAAGTATAAACTAACCAACTGCATTGTAATCATTAAGTTGATTATTAGCATCGTCAATATCATTCAGCAAATTTTTCTAATATATAGGAACGTTGTCAATTGGCCATTCAATTAGAATTTTATAAAACAAACAATCTTGGTCATCATATCAACGATGTAAATAATGAAGGTAAATCTGTTTTTAATGTAAATAATACTTCAGGCGATTCGAAACCGGATTGTCTGTTGGATACTTTTAGAAAACGTGCCATACACGCTGAGAGTTTATGCAATGAATTAAAGTTAAGATTGGAAACTGAATGTAACAACAAAGAAAAGTTAGTTGCATCTAAACAAATCGAAATTGAACAATTAAATGAAAAGGTAAATATCATTCCTAACAAGTTAAACTTGATAAAGATAAAAACTTGAACAAATGTCAGAGTATATTAACTATAAATTATTTCTTTTTAAAACAAGAGAAATGTTGACAGTGATTGATTTCAGCTACCTAGACAATTACGTGTATGATCTATGTGTAATATCTTTGTTATATCTATCACATGATTTCTATGAACCTATCTATTTATGTATGGACGTAAGTTCCTGTAAACTATTGAAATACATCTGAGTGTAAGGCTTATGTAAATGGATAGCACTTAGTTTTGTTTGAGTCTCTTTGATACTGTTAACACCTGTTATAACCCAAAACAAACAAATCAAACCAATTCAGATTGTTTGGAAGTCAATATGCTCATCGAGTTGTTTATGAGTATTGTGTTTAACTTCAAGAGTCGTTATTTTTGTATCTTCTTCTCTGAGCTGGATGATTTAGTCGTCTAACTTCTCTACTATCTCAGGGTCGCTATTAAATGTTGCATAAATCCTTCTCGATGGAACGCCTAGCTGATCTTCAACTTGTATTAGTACTAATCTGTATGGCACTCACATGTTCATTGTTATATGTATTTCCGTGAAAATTATATATTTCGACAGTCATTCATTCATTTTCAAGTAAAAAGAATTACAATAACTAGTAAGTAATAGTTATCAATATATTCCTAAATTTTCCATAGAAATAATCACTTAGTTTGTAGGTATCAATACCAAGGTTGGTTTTTTTGGTTCGAACCGAATTCATTAAAATCATGAATCATATAGAATTACTTTGTTGTTTTAGAACAAATTGCTTATAGAACGCTTTGAATATAATGAATTACAACGGAAAAAGAATGAAAACCATTATAATAAACAAACTGAAGTTTTGTTCAATTCTGAACTTCAATTGAATAGTCTTAAACAACAGTTAGAAGTTGTACAAAAAAGTGCACAAGTTCAAATCACCTCAATAAAACAGTCAATGAAAATGCAAGAAGTCAAGTATAAATTAAAGATCGAAACGCTTGAGAAAGTAAATAAATTAACCGATGAAAATTGGCGTAATCTGTTAGATAAGCAACAAATAGTAAGTAAATAATAATTATTTTAATGTTTTAGCACAAATTAAACTTTTATCCGTTCGTATAACGGAAAATAAACTGAAACAGCTATAATGTAAATGTGAACCATTGTTTTTCGACTTAGTGATTAAATAATATCGTGCTCACCACACGACTGGGATGTACTGGATCCAATCTCGTATGATACCATGAAAGCGCACTATTAAGAAATCACAATTATGGACGACATAGCTCTCTGGTGCTTCCATGTTTCCACTGTTTTCTATACAATGTCGCTTCATGACTATAACTTTCTAAATATTGAAATACCCAGAAGTAAAATTTACCCTGACTCATTTCCATAAGCAGAGATAAATCAGTAACTCCGTAAAATAAGTTCAACAACATCATAGAATGTTATATTTATCACCAGAATGTGCTTTTTAAAGCTTGCTTCATTTGAAAGATTAAATTTTTATGACTTTTTACATTTCAAACGACGTTCACTGAATTATAAAGAGAGGATATCTTACTTATTGTAAAAATGTTATTATTTACTGATATTTATGTATTTTAGCCACTAAATAATGATTAAAACACTATTTCGGTGTTCGACTAGAACGACAAGTGTTTATTCATCTCATTATATTTAGGATTTAAACTTTGCACATATTTTGTAGGAAAAGGCAGTAAGAGTATTTATTCACTAGAATATATTATAAAATGTATCTAAAGTATGCCGTACTAAGGGAATTACCAAGTAATTTGCTTAATATCATTACTTTCCGGACAAATCTTCAATTTCCTGAACTAAGTGATAATTTTCTACTATTAGAAAAACCTAGAAGATAAGCGATTTTTTCAATCGTAACCTTTTTTCCACAAAGTGGGCGCTATGATAGTTATTTTGCACATTTATATCCAAAAGGCTAATTAAAAATACACGGCAAAACATGTTTCATAAAATGCCAATATCAAGTGATCTCGAGTACTGGTAGTTTTAGCATTGACGATTTCTAACCTTGTTGTTTTATTGTAAGGGGTATCGCTAAACATACTTCTTGTTTAAAGGAAAAGTCTTACTGTTACTACACACCCACACAGTCAGCAGTATGACTTCCCCTTCGGACTACAAGATATCTGCTTTTAGTCTTATTGCTCTTCAACCGACTTGTCTTTCATGGTAGGACCTAAAGGAATGAGTATTCTATCCAATATACCTTGCTCGATTCATTATTATATGCAAGCCTGATCGCTATATCAAGGTAGAACCTACGGTTGGGTTCAGTAGCATGACCTTCAGAATATTTATCACGCACACTAGTGACAAGACTGACAACTTTGAACAACAAACATAAGCAATTTCCTCACTCTGAATAACGTAACGCTAAACAATTTGAACTCTATTGAGTTTACATGTTAGGATAGACAAGTATATATTATGTGTATATATATTTGCGATGTCCTAGGAAATAAAGAAAAGATAACATTAAAACGAAACTACTTGAAGAAAATAGTCCTTGAATGTGGTAGAAATAAAATTAGTTAATAATAATTTGATCTCAACTCTGGTCAGAAACGTAAGATACTAACTACTACAACTATTTGCAGTGATTTCCGCTAAGTATAGTTAATTTTCGGCATGTTGTTTATGAAAAAGAAAGATTAGTTCAGCGAAGAGTTCCCTTTTCGGCGAATTTATTTTCAAAGCTGTACAATCGCAAATATATATACTTATTTTTACAGGATGATAATAATAATAATACTGATAATAAACTTCTCTTATACATGGTGAGAGTGAAGTTAAATAAACAAAGGTATTAGAAAAAATTTTCAAAACAAGGAAAGTTTAATAATCGTTTGATAGTTAATGGCTAAAGTATTCATCAGGTAAGGATGGCTCGGCATGATAAAATAAAATGTTGAAACAGAGATGAAATGTAGTCGGAATGATCGTGGAAATAAAAACAAACCGGTTGGGGGTAGAAGATTTGAAGGAAAGATGGAAGGTGAAGCAGGTGGCTGTAAGGAAACAAGAGTATGAAGAAAGAGAAAAAAATTTTTAATACATTAAGACCATGGTAAAAGAAGAGGTTGTACCAGTCTCTTTTGTACACATAATTCTGGTTTTTCAAAATGTATGGCTATTGCCTCGGCAATGCAAAGAAGATGCAGTCTAATTGTCTTAGGAAGGCTTCTACTTACCTTGTAGATGACTTTGAACGCAGAGTCTTGATTGAGTGACCTGTGTTCACAAGGTGTTCGATTATAGAACTTCTTATTGAGCCGTTGCCTCCTCTTTTTAGCCACGCCGGACAATGTTCTTGAGTTCTTTTGGATAAAGTACGCACCGAACGACCTATATACCTAGCTCCACAAGAGCAGGTAAATTGGTAAATGCACATTGAGTTGGTCAAATGCGATAACTTATCTTTCAGATTATTGGTGAACAGTGATCGGCTGGAGAATAATATTCTCAATGTTGCTGCGAAGAATGTCCTTTTTAACGAATCCGAAATTCTCCTCTTTAATATATATGCGGTTCTGTCACCTTTGAAGTCGATGTTCATGTATAAAATTTTCTTTACTGCTATAATTGTTTGTGGTTTTGGCATTTTCGGCTTCATGTTCTTATCAATGAATGTATATTCCGTTTATATTGTTTATAGTTTAATAATATTTGAAAGCATAGTCAAATACATTTATTATAATCACTACTTAGTTAACGTCACAATGGAGAAAGGAAGCAGAAGAACTAGCCAACCAACTTGAAGAACAAACCAATGCCTTTGAGACGGAAATAGGAAAATATCGGAGTAAATGACAAATGTCTACCAATAACGTGATGACGTAAGTAGAATGATCCATACGATTTTTATATGACTCCATTAAATCATGATTGTAAAAAATTAAGGACTTTCTAAATGTAATAACGTGTCTCTTACCAATAATCATGTTACCCACAGTTAAAACATGCATAACTTTCAGATTATAAAAGTTAATCAAGCATTCAAACGTAAGTCAGTTTAAAAAATTCAGTGAATTTATAGGTTATAGGTAGAAACACCAAAAGATATCAGTACGCGTCACAATCTCCGAAAATAAGGTTAGCTATGGAGGATGGAATGGATTAATAAGCATTTGTTCATTAAGTTAGCATCCAGAATATGCAAAATGACTAATTTGTTCATTTCACCAATCAAAAATAATTCATATCCTTTAAAACAAAAATAAAGTGATGTTTAGAGTAAGAGAAACGAAAGCCGGGGATTGTTTGACTACTTTGATATCAAACTGCTGCGCACTACTCATTAATAAGCCATATTTCTTCACGATTTCTTTAATCAGTAATACTTGACTTTTTAAAAAAATCAAATTAGATTAGTTTAGCTAATATAGTAGTCGATTCGATTAATATTTGTGATTGTAACGTAAATTTTAAATCATCTTTTTCACTTACTGTAAGAACCTGTATTTCGGTAATTACAAATCAAGCTCATAGTTATCAGTACTTGTGAACTATTTATTTATGTTATATTAATCAATTGTGATTTTTCACCAAAGTTAATTTTCACATGATTCCCAGTCTTGCTGAAGAATAGGGATAATAGAATTATGTTGATAACGTTTGAAAAGACGCAACTATCCTGTCAACTTCACAGTTAAATATTTTGTACCCATAAACAACTATGATGAAAAATCTTGTGACTTATTAGGAGATTATATTCACTAACAGACTCAATCTGAATGTAAAGGAGCAGTTATTCTAGTGGATGCTTTTAGGAAATTAGCAAATTAGTGCTCTTATCACAGGTTGATATCAATTAAAAAATCTATGAATGATTCCCCACAGCCAAGGCCAAATAAGTAGCCTTCAAACATTTGGAACGCATATGATACCAAATAGTTACCAAATCGAAATCCGATCGTTAAAACTTTTCAATTTGACTTAATTCCTACGGCGACTTAACAATAAGGCCACAGTAAAGAGTGACTTAACATTTGATCAATTATTTGCAAATCAACTAACTGCATGGTAATCCACTGACTACTAAAAGACAATTAGACATGAACGATGTGAAAGCTCGCAAAATCCTGTGTCAAAATGTGGAGGAAAAACAAAGAAGGGGAGAATAGTAATACCAATAGTAATGTAAAGTTCGAAAAATTAATTTTAAAAGTACTTAGAAGAAAGGAATAAAATACTATTGAAGTTGATGGGATTTATTGGTCAACTGAACACTTAAGATGAAAAAATAAATGCATCTACGTCATAGGAATTGCTTGCCATCTATATTTCTTGGCGTTTGCAACTCCTACAAGCTCGGAGCACAAGCAAAAGACTCCGGAGATTGATGCCATGTTTTGACATACTCACAACTATCAGTCTTCAAATTTACTGCATGCTAAGCAGTATTAATTTCGAGAGATCTTCTGGAAATTCTTGACTGAAGAAGTAGAAAGTTGAGGTGCATACTTACTGGTGACAATGGGTATCGTAATCTATCGAGAATCTTACGTAATAAGTAAACGCTCACAATTAAACTGCAGAGTAATGATTCAAATGTGAAGTCCCCCCTAAATTGTAATGTTCTAGACTCTACACCAAAACATGCTGTTACAAGTTAGGATTACTGATTCTGAAAACCTGAAATACATGACATTAATGACCAACCAGTCAATTGTAAATACATTTCGGTTCTACTGGAGGTCAGTCGCGGCCCAGATAGCTCACTGTCAACGCTTCTGGCTGCGGAGCCGGTTAACATGGGACCAAATCTGTCAAGCTACACTAGTTCCATCCAGATTGCAGGTACACCTTGCTGACGAGCGCCAAATAGCAGGAAGTCTAGGTACAAAGCTTCCAATCGACTACCTCCAACCACCACCTTACACTTCGAAATAGTGCACGCGATATCGAGTTGCCAAGACTAATGACCACATCGAAACTTAATCAGTAGAACTATGCACATTAAAAAGGACTTGAATACATGGCATTAGTCACTACCCAGTGGTCAGTCAATTGTAAATTTGCTCTAACATTTATTTTAACCAGGAAACCAATCTACCTGTTTATCACTATGGAATAAACCACATTGGGCATTTACCGCAAGGTAATTTCGACGTAGGCTAGAAGTCCATACTATTCCTGTCCAATTTGAATAGACCCTGACCATCCAAATAAATCACCTACACTAGTGATCCACATAACCTATCTCTTTAACCTCACATTCAGCTGCTTGTGTGTTCCCCCCACGTATACTAAATTACACTCATGAGGCCTAATTTCATGCTGTCTTGTAGTCATTCTCTTGACAACCTATACTTAAATGTCACCAGTGCTGACATGCCGATATCATGAGGATGGAAAAAAACGTTTACATCATGTTTATCAAGAATCTTAGATTTATTCTGATCATTCTTTGCTGTACGGTAAGCACTACGATTTTGTTATTCTTTCGTTTTCAACACTTTTCAAAAACATTAGGATTAATGATTATCTTAAATGTAGACAAAATTAACTTTAACTCAATTTCTTTACTTTGTGTATCTGTAATAAGATAATAATACCGACTATGCAGATATTTAGCCGTAACAACCTTCTTGGGAAGAACAATTGGAGACTCGTAGGATAAACATCTCCCGGAATATGTTGGTTTACGGAAAGCTTTAGTGTCAAAATAGACGAAGTGTTGACACCGCAACTTTTGTTTGATCGTGCTTACATTATGTTTTCTAGAGCCAGCATCTCAAATATTGTGGCTTGTTTGTAGTTATATAGTGTCTGGGATTTGCAGTTTGTGATTGAATATTCGAGTCAGTAAGGGGGTCTGAGACCTATACATTTTATGTTTTCAGTCCCTCTTGAGTTTTGATAGTTCATCATTTGGCGCAAGTCTACCATGAAAATATCAGTTTGTTTCCGATGACATATGATTGACAATCATGATAAATCCTCTCACTGAACAGCAAATCTCGTCTTTATAATAACAGATAATTCCCATTTAAACATTAAATTTAAACACAAAGTTCAGCGGAGTGATCTCTTCTCAACGAATGTATTATCAAGCCGTACAATCGTATGTATATGAAAAAAGTACAATTAACCAAGATGACGTAATGGGTAGATTATAATACTAGATTACGTAATCCGAATGATAACAATAGATTTGGTGAATATAATAAGATGAATAAAATGTCTTTGTTATAATAATTAAAGGTCATAGAGGTGTAGAAATAAATAAGGTGATATGATGAGCATTTACGAATAAAATAAAATAATGAGAATATAAGTATAGGAGGGAATGCAGCAATAATAATAATATGATCAAAATAATTAAGGCCAAGGTAACGATAACTGTTGTGAACAGGAAAACAAGAAGCCCTGACAAACTACGGAAGCTATTTTTCGGGACGTTATTCCATTTTATTCAAAGCTTGTAAAACACTGACATTTAATTTTGTCCCCAATCTATTCTACAGAACATAAGCTTTCGTCCGATGTATGATTCATTGTCATACCCTTTTTGTTCCGAAGCTATTGTAATTTAAACATAATATTTTGCACCCTATTTTCTACTCTAATTCCCAGCTTTGGACATAATTGTACTTTTCCTAATTATCGTATGTTGTGGTCGGGTTATTCACTTATTTATTCATGTACCCTTTTACACTGAACTGAACTGAAATCAGGAATGGATCGAGTAGTGTTCCAGTTGTCTTGTCTTCTCTCATTTGCGTGCTTGTCAGCCAATTAGGTGATAGAATAGTTTTCTTCTCTCTACCCCATTTCGAACTCACGCGTACTAGCCTCAAGGTTAGGTCGGTCAGCCTATCACGCCAAGGTCTTAATCTGGATTAGATAAGTATCCTCAGCACCAAAAGTGGGTAAACAGACCAAGGGACATAACAATAACGATAAGGCGTACTTCTTTTGCACGCATAGTTCTGGTTTAAGCTCCTGATTGGTAAGAGCTTCGGCTATTTTTAAGAGTTGGATGCGAAGAAATCTGAATAGATTTGAACGAATCATATAAACAACCTTAAGATTACATTAAAAAGAAGAATATATTTGTAAAATCTCAGCGAATGAATTTTAAGTAAATCCAACGTTTCGCCTGGCAATCTGGTCCAAGCTTTTTCAAGGAAAATATAATCAAACAACAAAATTATCGAATATAAATAGGTACATGGTTCTTCAGTTTACTGTACACTGAATAAGTCATCCAATCGACGTGAAGGATTTCTTTATAAATAGGTATTTGTATTAATGTGTAAGAGACATGTTTATATAAAAAATAATAAAGGTCAGACAAATAAAATAAAAGTTCATTTGAAAATAATCAAGGGGAGAGAAAGAATAAGAAATTGTCGTGTTATCCTAGGCCATAGAATGACTTAAGGATTACAAAGTAAATTCAAGGTTATGACAAATTGTTATTGTACACATAAGGACAAGGTATGTGTTATGGAACCAAAAAACGTGTTAAGATAACAGAATGTGTTTATACGCAAGTGATGTGAGAAGAAATTTCATTCAACTAAATATTGACTACGGTCTGTGTATATTAAGAAAACAGATCATTTTTATATATGAAATGAATCAAAATGCCACAGCCTTCATTAAAATGAAGATAAGTAAACAAAATAAAAGAGGAATGTATATGTAATTGAAGTTGTGTGTTATTTTTAATATTCCAGTCAATTGTTTAACATATTCAGATAAGATAACGGATTTGAATCATTGAAATTAGTTCCTATGGCATAAATATATCAAATGGCAAAAAGGAGATCAGGTTTACTTATTAATTATTAGTTGCCATG